TACTCGGTTTAATCGTTATCCTTTGATTTTGAATCATAGAATTGTTGTTTTGACTTGACCACTAATATAATCGTTCATTGTCCTCCAGGTTGAAAAGTTTTGCAGCTGTTTTAAAGTTGTTGTTCCTTTGGTGATTCTCAGTGTGGTGGGGGTGGTGGTGGTGGTGGTGGTGGTGGTGGTGGGGGGGGGGGGTCCTTTATTAGTCTGCCAGTTATTTTGAATGAATTTCGCTTATGGTTTCGACAATGTCAATAACACTTTCTGTATTGTCTGCCCCTTGATGTAGCCTTTGTGTGGTACGGGTTGTTCCTTCTCTTACAGCCCTTTTGTTTGGAGGTCAGTACTCGTCAGGTGGTTTTTTGTGTGTAAGAGGTTGATATATGTCCTAATCGTGGTATTGTGATTGATGTTGATTACTCTGCCGATTTTTGGGATAAATTTCGTTTAAACAGGGGGGGAAATGTTGGATAAATTATGGATACATTATTTTATTATTTTTTAAACGAAAGCTTCATACGGTTTATTTTACTCTAGCAACAGACAGGCGTTTGACCTTGCCTCTTTCTAGTCCTGGCTTATCAGTAAGAACGCCCTGTGCCAGCGCCTGTTGTCTCCCTAAAGAGTGTCTAAAGAAATGTGTGTAAATGTGTGTGCGTTTTACCATTTTGTGTGTCCTTAATAAAGGCTTTCTGAGAGTTCTGTCTGACCCCAAAATTCCACTATCTCCGCTCCGCCCCCGCTGCAGATCGCTTCCGAACTCAAATTATACTGTACCCGCTCTACAACGGCTCCGCGCCGGTGCGGAGACCTGAGGTGCACAAACAGACATGCGCGGGATTTTCGAGATCTTGCGATACAGTCCGAGCAATAAACGCGGAAGTTAGATCCAAACACCCGTTGTGTGGGAGAAGCATCGAAATGAACTGTTTAATCTGCCCATCATTTGTGTTGAGAGATCAGCAGTGTTTGGATCAACAAAGTGTGACTACTTTGATAGTGGAAACTGTATTTATGGCTTATTTTTATGCATTTAAAGTTCAACCACCATTGATAGTTGTTAAAAGTTGTGCATATGAAACAATAAAACGCTTTTTGTTTATCGATTTATTGTGAAAAACGGAAGTTGTGCTTGCTCCCTTTCCTGTTGGGCGGTTGTGATTCCTGTCCATTGAGCTCCAGCGTCCGGCAAAAATAGAATCGATCCTATTTTTGCCGGATGGCGGAACGGCGGGCGGCGCACTGCGCCGCACGGCCGCAGTAGTGGAACAGCTCTGATTGACTACAACGGGACCGTTTTTGCTGCGGAGTTCGTGCCGGAGCAGAGTGGAGATAGTGGAATTTTGGGGTGAGAGAGTGAATTGCCTACCAACTCTTGTGAATCATTTCATCTCTCTCCACTTTGAAAAGTCTAAATTGTTTATTGGTAAAGATTGGTATGGGTTAATAGATTGGCTTATTAATATAACCCCTGGCGTGCTGAACTTTCCCTCAGGTAACCCTGGATGGGAAAATGAAAATACCTAACAAAATGTAAAGAATAAACAACATAATTAAAAAATAACAAATTTTAGAAAAAGTTAGACACAAACTGAGGACAATATTTTCCTGATATACAGGGTTTATTTAGAAAATGTAACACGTTTAAAAAATACCTTGATAATACAGAAAACCGTGATAATTTTGGTCACAATACCCATGAGGTAAAATTTTCACACCGTGACAACCCTAATCATGGGACATTTTCTTAAACTTGCTGGTTGTGATAGTTTGATGTTTCCTGTCTAAATGCAGTCAGTTCATGTTGAACTTTTGAGGAAAAAAAGACTGATTTAATCTCATAGACTTCCTGGTAAAATATAGGTAAAGAAAATTTCGCTGACTACAAACAACACATTCAGTTTATATAGTTAAAGCCTGTAAAATATCAAGATGCTTTTTATGTATCATTTTAATTGTTTAATGTTATCTTGAAGAGATGCAGTGGCCTGTAGCTAAACCATCGGAGGCTGATTAAAGCCTGAGATAATGAAAAGGCAGATAGAGCTCCTGTCATCTGTCTGAGGGAGGACCAGCATGTTAAACACCAACACAAAGACCTTCTGTGTGACTGCAGGAAGGCCATGTTCCCATTAAATTCCAGCCTGAAGATAAAAATCTGCTTGTGTACGACAGAATCTTATCAGTTTTCTGAGTACCAGAGCCAAATTCTTATGGCAACACACTGAAATCTAACGGTAGATTAGCATTTCAATAAAAGTCTGACATGTCAAGAGTCTGGTTACTTAGTCAAAGCACCAGAAAAAAAAAGGAAAAACGAACACAAAAGTAAAGTAAATGATAACTGACCCGCACTTGTAGAGTCGGAGCGCTCCAAAGTGCTTTAAACTAAAGTGTGACAACATGCGACAAAGTAAACTGATGTAGACGAGATCAAAGTGTTAAGAGAAAGGGAAGTGAAAACAAAAAAGGTACAAAAATGCTTTTGACTTTCACTGTTAGTTCTGAAATCCTTTCTGCATCGCCTCTTTGTGGTGCTTCAGTTCCAGCTCACTATACAGTAACCATGACAACCGTAAAAGGGGTGGTGACTAGGGCTGTTTTTCAACACCTCTAGTACATTAGTACATTCTTGTGGCTAGTACAGCAGAAAGTTCTACCGAGGACGGCATTTGGAGCACAACCCAACTCCATTGTGACATGGTTAAAAAATGACATGGAATAAAAATAAAAGTCTAGTGTGTCCCTTAAACAAAATAACACTTAAAACATATTATTTGTATTATATATCGTCCACTTTTGATTAAATTTGATAAAATACCAGCATTTCCCCGTTAAATGAAGAAAAAGTTTCTGTATTATCAAAACTGCTATTTAAGGCAACGATAATGGGTTCTAGAGCGGGAAAAACTAATATCTAAATGCATGCAGCGTAACAGAAAACTAAGCTGAGTTTTCTCTCTTGTCATTCAGAGTACACAGTGAGCGATGTGGTGAATTTGTTATTGGGTGGGGCGCAGTTATGCCATCCGTTAGATGTGCTAACCATATATCAACACTAGGAGGAGTGTGTGTGCGTGTGTGTCCCAGCGCGCATGTGCCAGTTAGCGAAGGTCTATGGTAGAGATTGCTGCGCCCAAAAGAAAGAGGAAATATGTCACGAGACGATTCGGTCGTGGTAAAAGTGAGAACATTTTTAAACTACACTTCAGTGCAGGTTAAACACAGCACTTATAGTCTGTATGATGTTTAGATCGTTTACTTTCATTTTCATGTTTTTTATTTGTAATTTTGTGATTCTTATCTTCTTCTTCCCCCTCCTGTGAGACTGGTGGGATGGCCCCCTAGCGCCCCCTATGGACGAGCCACTACTGGCATTATTGGCTGCAAAAAATGGTTAAGTCCCGCCCCTCCATGCAAACAAATGACACATCTTTTTAATAAAAAAATACACACACAGTTATTTCTTTTTATTCATGCAGGTCTCACCCTGCTGGTGCATATTTGAATATTTATATCTCTAATATGTTTTAGCTGATACCTGAAAAACAAAACACATTGATTTAAAAAGTTAAGCATGGAAGCACCTGTAACTGGGATATTCTGGCTTCACTTTTGAATAATAGAATTAGAAGAAGATGCTTTGTCATTATGGGTTAAAACGTATATAAAATAGCAGGGTGAGCCTGAATCCAAAATACTGGATACTTAAAGGTTTCTTGGTGTTTTTCTGCTAAATTAACTTAGTTTAGTTATACAGCCAAAATACTGAACCTCCTGTACCATAAATGTGTTTTCTGAGAGTTTAATGAATACAGTCACACTCATGGTCACAATAAACATAAAAGTAATGAATCCAGCCCAGTTTTAAATCAGAACAAGGTTCATTTCCTCAGATTTTTCCTAAAATAGTTACACATTTTCACATTCTTCACATTTCCTTTTACTAAATAGTGTGATGTTACTGGTTAAACATAACCTGGTGGTTTAAGTTCCTTAAAACCCAGCAGTTTTAATCCTCTAATTTAGATATTTATTTTGTGACCGAGGATAATTTCACGTGACAGTTCATAAAACCAAAGATTCCAAATGGCAATTTTAAATAAGAACAACGTCCATCTAAGCTGCGGTAAACACTGAATTTAGGACAGAAACATCTGAGTGGATCCGACTGACATGCAGCTCAGCGGCGGCGTTGGAGCTTGTTATTATTTTGGGGCTTGTCTCTTCTCATTAGTCTACAGAATGTGTGCTGTTGCTGAAGGCCTCCCAACGATGACATCTTCAACATGAGACGAAAAAAATCACCTCTGTCCGCCACACACATCTACAGTCCATCACTCTGTTTTATATTTAGATAATTCTGTTTTTGTGTCCTCCTGAAAGCTCTCTCTCATTTTCATGTTTGATTTACTTATTTTTCTTTAGTTTTCTGTCAGAAATTCAACGTTTTGTTGTAATAAATGAAAAGTCATTAGTCTATGTTTACAGACTATCCCAAATGTAAATAAAAACGATATTTCTCTCAAAAAAACAATGCAGCTAAAGTGTTTAACATCTAACATGTGATGTCTTGCAGTTAAGACAGATGTTTTTTAAAAAGTTGAGTATTTCCATTAAATTCCCTAAATCATAAATAACTTATTACAGTTCGTCGTTGATTCTAAAGAAAAAGGAAGAATATTATCAAAAAATCTAGATTAGAAAATTACTGTCGCTCAGTAAGGAAATCTTAGATTATCAGATTAACTTTTAAATTTGCTGTTGCTCTTTATGTTTTGAAAATAACTTTTCTAGACTTTAAAAATAAGCAATTTATTTTCAAATAGCTATAAGAAAACAGCATCAGCATGAGGTCAAAGTCTCGCACGCACGCGCGCGCACACGCACACGCACACACACACACACACACACACACACACACACACACACACACACACACACACACACACACACACACACACACACACACACACACACACACACACACACACTCTCCTTGCCTGGTCATTGTCTTCGATCTGACCCAGGTCCCTGCCGCTGGCCTGAGCGATCCTCTTCCCAGACACCAGATTCCCGACCATCACAGAGGCCGGACCAATCTCTACAGGAGGAAAAAGAAATCAGGAAGACCAAATCGGACTAACGGTGGTGCAAAGTTTGATAAAACAATGTTTGCCTGAAATGTTAGGAAATGTAAGATATTTGAGAAGCTTCTAGACAACAGTAGCAGACTCAGAGTAAACGTTAGCTCATCAATCGTGAAGGATATTAAAGCAATTTGTCTTTACTGAGGTCATTCAGGAAGTTACTGGCCTTAACTAAGATACTAATCATGAAAAACTTTTTCATAACCACATAAAATTAAGCACTCATATGCAGGTCTTTGGGCTGTGGACAAAACTCACGAGATTTGAACCTGCAACCTCTGTGAGGACATTATTTTGCCTCACTTATTAACTTAATATTAGATGATCATGTGTAGCTATTTAACAGATGCTGGTTATACATGTCATGTTAGTTATAATTAAACACACTTACATTGTCTTTTGTTATTTCTGAACTCATAAGAAAATATCTTAAATACCCAATGAGCTTCAGCAGAGGCTCCTGGCCTTCAGGCTCATCTCTGTAAATAACTGATACCTGGCTGTTTCTGCCGGGGTTTGGGCAGGTTGGTGACGCAGGTGTGCGGACACATCAGAACGTTGCAAGGGTGCAGCGCCCCCTCCAGGAACAGCTGCTTGGTCTCAGACAGGTGGATGCCACCCAGAGGAGTCTTGGGCAGAGTGTTGGAGGGCACCAGAGCCAGGCAGTACACCCCGACCTGGTGGATGCTGTCTATCGCCTGGAATGTTGTTACAAAGAGATTAGACACTTCTGATCTGGACCAAAACTGAAGAACCGGCACCAAGCAGAGCTCTAAGCTGTAGTTGCAGGATCTTTGCATCAAGATGCATATTAATATCTCAGCATTTTCCCCATTTACAGTAACATTTACAGCCCATCGTTTCAGCTGCTTCTAAAATCACTGACTGTTGAAACCAGATGAGCAAAACGGAAAAAAGAAGCAGGCGGCTTCTGTGATGGTGAAGGAATAAAGAGACATGCTTTTACTGCTGCTGTTAAAATCCAGACAGCTTTTATAGCTTCACCACAGTCTCTGGAGCTGGACTCAGATTTGATCTGTTCAGGCTCCAAATAAAAGTGTTACAGTAGCAGAGAGTCTGTTTCAGTCTGACAAGCTGAACTACGGTGTGAAGTAAACCGTGAGATCTGTTAATACGATTAGCTTTTGGACCAATTCAAAACATTTTCTAAAGTCAAATACAAACATAAAAAAGAAGCTGTGATGTGACTCACTGACAACTAGTTTTGTGTCTCTTAATCGTCTCAAAAGGAAGATCCTGTTTCTGTCCCGCTGATTGTTTTCTTTCTAACATCATAACATTTCATCACAGCTGCTCGCGGCCGTTTTTAGAAAACAAATAAAATATACAAAAGTTGAAGAATTTCTTCTTTTTAGGAACTATTTGCACATGTGGATCTATTCATTCTCATAAGCATAGGAACATAGTTCAGCAAGAGCAGTGGTGTCCAACACTGGCCCAGCAGGGCCTTCATCAACCACACACACCTGATTTATATCAGCTGGTGATTCAATCATCGACTCAGGTGTACAAAGCAGGAAAACAACTGAACCATGCAGGATGGGGGATGCTGAGGATCAGGGAGCTACGATCATTTCACTAACAAACATTTAGTTAAGGAAAACAGTCGTTACAGGCTACTGAACATTTTAAAATGACTATAACATATGGCGACAGACACAAAAACAACAACACTGACAGTTTCAGGAGGAAAAAAAACTTTTTATATCCAGAATTCATTCTCATCGAAATGCAAACAATGTCCAGTAATGTAAAATTAGCTCCTGCATTTAGCCTGTGGTCCTTTTTTCCACCATTCATTTTTCAAGAGTTCTTGAGCTAACACATTAGCAAAACTTCCACTTTTCTGTCAGGAACAGCAGCTGCAGAAGATGGAGCTCTCGGCTTCTCTGTGAAGATTACGATGAAGGGCAGAAGCTGGAAGTCTGTATGTTCTCACAGTTCTCAACCTGTGTGTGTGTGTGTGTGTGTGTGTGTGTGTGTGTGTCTACCTGCAGAACTCTGCTCATCCACTGGAAGCTGTCTTCCTCCGTTGAGTCTGGTCGCTGCTCAGCCACAACAACGATCCTCTCATCATGTAGCACCGTGATGGAGAACACAGCTATCCTACAAAAACAGATAAAATGATGACACACCGAGTTTGTTTCCCTCTTCTTGTTTCCGATTGGAGCATGACTCAGCAACTTGTAATGTGCTTTATGCTGTTCTGCAGCATGTACACAAGTTTTAATTACAGACGCTGATACATCAGGAAGGCGAGCAGCGCAACACACTGACCTGCCTCTGTAGACAAATTTCATTGGCTCCACCGCCAGAGCCGTAGCAACAATGTCATCAGCGTTGTGACGCCGCCCTCCCACCATCATCAAACCGTCCATCTTCCCAGCAACAAAGATCAGACCGGCAGGTCCGATGAATCCCAGCAGGCCGGTCCTGATGAAAGGGAACTCGCTGATGGGAGACCCGTTGTTGAACACCGGGAAGACCTGAGAGTGTTTGACACCAAAAATAAGATGGACAAAGCACAGAAAGAAATAACCACCATAAAGATTCACGCTCTCACCTCGAAGGTGTTCTTCGTCATTCCCGCCAGACCGTAATAAGATGTTCCCGTGGCAACAGTACAAACACATAACTCTCCAATCTCATCAGTTTTACAGAGCTGAGGAACACCTTCCAGCTTCACCACACACATCACGCCTGCAGGAGAGGAATATCGCATTTATGAACCTTTTAAATCATAAGTCACAGAGATTCATTTGATTAACTAAACTATGAACACGAGTTCTCACACATTTCACAGGAGTAAGACAAAATCATGGTGGCAAATGAAAATAAATTAAAGAAGAAACCAAGTAAAAAGGTTAGGTTCTCATTTAGGTTTTATAAGACAAAACTAAATTCAAACTTTGCTATCAAGTTATAAAAAAGCCACTTTCTGACTTTCCCTGACACAAGAAACTTTGAAGAATAACCCCAGCTCGGTCAGGATGATGTCAGCTGTGTTTGTTTTACCTCCAGGCATGACAGAACCAACATCTTGAAGTGTGAGAACCGACAGCTTCTCCTCCGAGTCGACCCGGATTACGCCGTGACTCAAACCCTGCATGGACAAAACGCCTCGACTTGGATGGGTGCTGCCCTCCTCCAAAGGCCTGCGGGATGAGGAAAACACACGGATTAGACTCGGAGTGGAGCGGCTGGTCTTTTAGGAAAACTAGAGGGTTTGATCTGAAGGAAATATCTGTTTTAGGATTTTGAGGCAAATAAGAAGATTTTATTAGCAGGATAATGGTTTTTGCGGAGCAAGTATTAGAAACATGAAAGAAAAGTGGAAATGTTTTCAGAAAATAAAAATCCTAAAGAAACCTCCCGGTATTACTGCAATATAAAAGCCTGTAGAAGGGGAAAAAGCTAACTTATAAAAATAAATGTGTTTCAAAGGATTATACGTTTGAAAATGTACAGATTTCTAAAAACGAGGGACGTTTTTAAATATTACAACATTTTTCAAGTGTCTTGATGGATGATGTGACGTTAAAAAGTGAAAACAGCGTTGTTTCTTTGAGTCGTTTCCAGACACAATCAGACTAGAGGCTCCACGTCTTTAAAACCTCACACCAAACAGACACGAGTCACAAAGCTCTAAAAATAAAGTGACTCCACACCCTTAGTGGTACTTAATAGAACAGAAAGAAGAATTACAGTCGACATTGGAGGGAAAGTGGTTGATTCAGATGGGCAGGAAGACAATTTTAGTTTTTCAAACCCTTAAAACGTGTCTCGTCTCAGAGAAAGTGGGTGTTAGTTTACAGGGACTGTAAATATTAATTAGAGAAAGTTAAAGGAAGATATGAATGTTTTAGTCCCTGTCGCTGATTGAATCACTGAACTTAAAAGAAGAAAAGCAAAAATGGGGAGGATTAGAAATTATTTTAACATAATTACTATTTCATGTTATTATTAACTATATTAATTATGTTCTAACCCTTACTAGCCCAAATTTATAAAACATGCAAAAAGTTTTATTACTTTCTTCTTGATGTGGACACTAAAGGGAGGTAATTAATATGGTTTATTTTTATTTTTATTTTTTTTACTTCAAAACTGATGCAATAATTACTGATTAAATAATTATAGTAGATTTTGAGATTGTAGAAAAGTGAATCTGTTCCTAAATATTTAAAGTATTTATCTACAAAAACACACAACAATGTCTTGAGAACTGTCCAGGGTGCTGAAAAAATTTCCAGAAGGACACTAATAAGCTGAAGGCTAAAAGAAGACATTAGCGTCAACATTCACCTCAGTGTTACATCAGTTTAGACAAAAGCACCACCCACATTTATAAACATTTTAAATTAGGAATTAATCCTAAATATTTATGACTAGAGATAATGTGAATATTATTTTTCTAATCAGTTAGAAAAAAGTGACTTGTGGAGACATAAAAATTATGCTAAATTTAAAGTGGAAGGAAAACTGAAACGCACAAACGACCTTTAAGACGGGGTCATGTTGGGTAAATATGACAAATTTACAAACAAACTGAAACAGTCAAGTCCTGCAAAACTCACACTAGGGCTACGTTCACACTGCAGGCAAAAGCATATCAGATCTGCTTGTTTCCCCATATCTGATTTTTTAATGACAGTCTGAATGCACAGATTCGATTTTTTTCAAATGTGATCCGTGTCAAGTATTTGTTACCGATTCGGACACATATCTGATGTTTTTGAAAGCGACTGCAGTCTGAACGGTCGTGTCACATTAAATCCATCTCCTACGTCACTGAGTCAGCGGAGATGAGTGTCGTGTGTGGATGTTCCTGAGGAGAAGCGCTGACAGAAGGGTTCAGGAGTCGGTCTGGACTTCCTGTTTTAGGTTTAGGAATTAAAAGTACAAGAGAGCATGCGGGAGGTACTAGTCTCCGTCTGTGTGTGTGTGTGTGTGTGTATGTGTGTGTATGTGTGGGTGTGGGTGGGTGGGTGGGGGGGTTGTCTCCGTGAGAACGGGGGTTCTCCATGAATGAATTATTACCAGAACATTTTCTTCTGTGCACGCGGGTAGCGTTCACACAGGACAGAGTTTGATGTCGTATTTCAGTCATAGTGTGAACAGCCACACAAAATAATTGGAAATTAAACTGAACACATAACAACGCAGTCACTTTTTTTTAGCACAATTATCAAAAAACAAGATGGAACACAACAGCACCGCAGTTCATGAGAAGAAGCTGAGAAACTTTCAAAAGTTTGGAGACATTCTGGGAACTCAAGTTCTGATTGTAATTTGTCCTCCTCCGTCTCAGGTCAGTGCGTCACTGGTCTGTAGCTCCTATCAAAGCTAGAGCTGAGATTAAAGGTGAGCTCAGAATAACTCAGATCAAGCCAAGTCCAATCTCAAATAAAACTTTATATTAGTTACTTTCTTCTCGGCGTTACTAAACTCTGGTACTGTGACATTAGTTTTATAATAATCTCCAGTCAGACCATATTCATGAGATAAATTGCATATGTGTGTGTGTGTGTGTGTACCTCCGTATGGCTACAGTCAAGGCCTCGGTGGAGCTGGCACACGGGCAGATCACCTCCGGCTTCAAACCTTTCGTCTGGAAGACGTTGAGGAATGCATCGCAAGAGGAGATCGACCCTGAGAACAGAAATATGATAATATTTGTAAAGTAAATATATTAAGTAATTATACATTTAATCAGTGTCTTGTTTATGTTGCAGCCAGACAGCAAAAAGGTAAAGAAAAAGCATTTTGTTTTTAAAATAGCACATTTCTGAGTCTGAACCTTGAAGCAACCCAACATGCTGCAGAAAACCAGCAAACCCAAATGTGACATAACTCATCGGTGGTAAGGAGAGTTTTTTTTACATTCTGACAGTAAAAAACCAATAAAAAGTAACAAGTGCAGCAGCTGTAGGTCTATTCTTATAGCCAGAGTCACTAATCTGGTCTCTTGGAGGTAACTAGAATCTACATTTATTTACTCTGATAAAGGAAACTATAACTGACCCTTAAATGAATTTTATTGTTTAAGATTTCACATTCTAACCAAATGTTAAAGCTAATATTCACAGCTCCAGCGATGGTCTGATTTTAGTGTTTAACCCTCCCGCTGTCCTAACGGGTGTGACCCCGTGAGGAAAGTTGACTATTGAGCAAGGTTGATGGTTTATCCCTTGAGGTCCACGTGGCAGGGGTGAGGAGTGAGCACCACCTCACCCCTGCCACGTGGACCTCAAGGGATAAACCATCAATCCTGCTCAATGATCAACTTTCCTCGCGGGGTCACACCCGTTAGGACAGCGGGAGGGTTAAACCTTTCTGAGATGTTTAGGACAGAGCTTTCTTACATGGATTTGAACCGTCGGCCACCACCAGCATGCGTAGGGAGTTCAGGCTGATGTCTCGCTGGTCCCGATGGGCCACCAGAGCCCAGTGCATGTCCCGCGACTTCACACATGCCACCTTCGCTACAGACAAAACATTACACAATATTATAAAATGTTTCCATCACTGGAAACGACAGCAGCCAGAGACACTCTAATTCATTCTCACTGCACTGCAGGACACCTGGTGTCCCCTGTAGAAATGTCCCTGTCTGTGCAGCAGCTGTTGTTGGACACACTTGAGGCAAAACTGTGAGGTTGTTACCTTTATACTGGCAGACCTTCTGGATCCAGGACAGAGGATTCACCTTCATGAGTGCGTAGGGAATACTGATGACGTGCATCATGTTCATCACACTCTGACAGGAAACAGGAAGTCATTTCACAATAACACACAACTTCCAAGTTTCTTGAGACTTAAGAAAGTCTTTTGGTTTGTTTTACCGTCAGGATGGCGTGCCACAGTCCCACATCCTTCTTAAAGTCTAATACATTCACTATGGTTTCAGCTGCACGCAGAAAGAGGAGACGGTGAGTTTTCTATATCTGGTGAGAAATAACCCAACAGGTGTGTGTTTTACCTTCTGTGTACGAACAGGACTGTGTGAGGGCCTGGCAGTGTGTGAGCATCGCTATCCTCGTCACCGTCACACCAAGGACACCGCCATCTTTACACGTCTTGTACTGTTTGGACAAGAGATTAAAAATGTAATCACAAAGACATTTTTCCAGATTACATTTTTAAATATTTAATATTCAAAAACAATCTTTGATTTCTGTATGTTTCTGATGCCTAAATAGCTTAAATTAGATAGGGGAAACAAAAATTTCACTGCAGAAGGAATTTTTTTATTCTGTCTTTGGATCTAAAAAAAATGTTGTTTGTTTTATTCAAACTGCATTTTGATTAAAAACATATATCACTTGAATTTTTTGTTATGTTTAGTTAGAAACTTGACAAAAGCTACATTTTGTGTCCAACTCTAACTTATTCACCGTGGCTTTGTTACGTGCTTTAAAAACGTTGTTATGAGTTAATAAACTAGAATGATGTCACATCTGATTCCCTCTAAACTAGAATGTGTCTGAAGCTCCAATCACAAGCAGCCATTGGAGGACATGAATCACATTCATCTTTTAAAAGTCAACAACGTTTTCAGCAGTGACGTCTTTCATCTGTCTCAGCTGTCAGAGAGGATGCTTCTGCTGAAGACAAAAGGTCATTTTTTCCACTCATCCTGCTGCTCTGATCATTTTGCTTCAGCCTCTTTTTAATCCCAAATGTCATCTGGAGACGTTTCACCTCTCTGCTGGTCCAATTACCACCTGGCTGCTAAAAAGGATGTTTTTTTAAATCAAATCAATCAGCCAGGACGATAACGCCTGAGAGGTGGAGAAACATCCTCTCAGCTAATCTAAAGGACGCAGAGCTGCATTGATCCAGGAAGCAGAAGTGGATGAGCGGAAACGTTCTGCTGCCACAGAGCAAGCGAGTGTACATACCTCGATGTAGGCCGTGTCCTGGCTGGCATCTCTGATGTTTGGGAACCAGTCTCGGGGCTGTTTGGAGAGGTGTTTGGACTCTGTGACGAACCACAGCACTTTGGGCCAACCTGGACAATAAAAGGGACAAAAAACAAATATAATTTATGTTGGATCTGAAAGAACTCGACGCAGATCGTTCTGCTGAATGTGATTTATTTGGATAAATAAAAAACAAAAAAAGTGTTGGGAGTTTGCACGTGTGTGTGTGAGGTTTGCTAATGTCTGAAATGATGCTGAATGGGAGCGAGACAGAAGCAATAATGGAGCTTTAACATGAGATCGATAGGAGGAGCACTCAGATTTAATGAGCAGCGAACACACAAGCTTGGATCTCCGCTGAGTGGAGAGCGAAGGGTCCGCTGGCATCATGTTGCTATTTTTAAACCCATTACTGCAAAGTAAACAGTGGTTATTCTTCACCAGGAGATTCTCCCTCTCGTTTCTGCGCTGCCAGTTGGTTTTCTATCGATCTGCATCGCCACTTCACCGACTCTCTTCGTCTCCGTATGAACCGCTCCATCATCTTGTCATCCATGTCTCAGCCCAGCTGTCTGCTGGCATCAAGTCTGTTTATTCGTCCCTCTGCGAAACGCTAGAAGAGGAAAATAAAAGCTCTGCTGCCGTAGTCTGACCTCTGAACCGAGTCCGGACTTCCTGGGATGCTGAGCTCCAGTTCAGCTCCATCCGATCAGTTTCAAGGGTCAGAAATTCAGTGAGTTTTTAAGAGATCTGGGTCTGATTTTAGAAACTTGCTTTGCACATTCATTCTATATTGGATCCATTATTTATTCATTTCATGTTCAGTCTTGATTTGAAAAATTTCAAAGTATTTTTTCTTCTACTTTACAAAGTGCTATAAAACAAAAACATTAATAAAAAGTAAGACTTTTCTTAGCCTGTGATTTACTAATAAGTCCCGAAAGACCTGTTATTGATTCTGAGCCACTCGCTTGTTAAATACATATTTTTACTTATTGAGAAGCTCTGGTTTGCATTAGAAAATTATGTCGCATCCAGTTAAAATTAGAAAAAAATGAATTCAGAACCTAAATATATATTTTCTTAAATTCTAAATTAAAATGATTCTGTGATGACTTTAAAAATAAATTTTGTTTTCATATTCAGTTATTTAATCTAAATGTCCTTAGATCTCAAACAGAAATTAACTAAGCTCCCAAAAACACTTTATCTAGAGTTTCATCCCAGTTTTAATTAAAAAACGTCCAGCTTCTTATTGTGGTGGAAGGTGGAAATTTCATCCATCCACCTTATTCCGTTTATCCGAGGTCGGGTTGGGACGAGGATCCCAGCCCTCAGTGGGATGTGTCTGGAAAACCTGTGGAGGGAGGCGACCAGGCGCCTTAATCAGATGCCGGAGCTACCTCAGTGGACTGCTTTCAATGCAGAGGGGCAGCAGCTGCACTCGGAGCACCTCATCTTACCTCTAAGGCTGCTTTATCCAGTAGAAATGTCCATTTATTTGTTACAAAATTCTTTAATGATAAAAATAAAAATAATTAATAAAAACTGTTCTCCTCCTGAATCACACAGATGTTTATTCTCATCCCAGAAAACAACAGCAGCTTAACTGCTCATGAGCATCACTACAGCAAACTTAGAAAGTAGTAGAAATCATTATATTATGGGGCGACGGTGGCACAGGAGTTAAGTGCTCGCCCCGTAATCGGAAGGTTGCTGGTTCGAGTCCCGCTCAGTCTGTCGCTGTCGTTGTGTCCTTGGGCAAGACACTTAACCCACCTTGCCTGCTGGTGGTGGTCGGAGGGACCGGTGGCGCCAGTGCTCGGCAGCCTCGCCTCTGTCAGTGCGCCCCAGGGCAGCTGTGGCTACATCGTAGCTCATCCCCACCAGTGTGTGCATGTGTGTGTGAATGGGTGAATGACTGATTGTGTTGTAAAGCGCCTTGGGGGGTTCTAGGACTCTAGAAGGCGCTATATCAAATACAGGCCATTTACCATTTACAGCTTTGACTTATCTGACATCATTATGAACTACAACTGGCAGGTCAAAACCAGATCTCATGTTAACCGTTTAAACCATTTAAAAAGGACAACAGCTAACTTCTCTGCTTATTTTGGAATTTCATTCATTAATGTTGATTGATTAAATTAATTATTTAAAAAAATGTGTTGATGTGTTTATTATCAGCTGTTTCAGATACCCTCCATGCTATTAAGCACAGAAGTGTCACAATGGAAGGTTGTGTGTATCTGACCTTTGAACTGTGGGATCTCTCCGGTGGGACTTTTGGGTAACCCTTTATGACAGGCGTCGCTGGTGAGAGCCACAGTGACTCCGCAGCTCCCCAACAGAAACCCGATCTGCTGACTGCCGGCGTCCTGCAAACAGGTCAGAGGTCAGAGGTTAGAGATTAGAAATCAGCAGGGCAGCAGGTTAAATGTATTTTTTGTAATTTGGAGTTCACCTCCTGCGCTCCGTAACATGGGCTCTTACCTTCCTGGTCAGTGGGACCTCTATCGGCACAGGGACGACCTCAGCCAGCAGGCAGCCATAAAAAGCCGTCATGAAGGCACCGGGGTCATTGTTGGGAAACACAAGTGCCACCTACAGGCAGGTGGAGAAACCACATGATGATGCAGCTCTGATTTGATTCTGTATCCTGAAAATGATCCGGTTAATAAAACAGAAGAATGAAAGCAGCAGAGCAGAAACATGACGAGCCTGCTGATGGTCTCTGATGTTCACTAGGACACAGGACACAAACATATTAAAATCTAACATGTCACCACATCCCAGCGAGGCAGTCATCTCCTTCTCTTTAGGATCCAGTTCAGCTCCAGTGGCCTGTTGGGATGTTCCCAGTGACCCTGCTTAAGTGCTGCTTAATAGCCTCTATAAACATCACAGGAGTGTGTGTGCTGTAAGCCGAGTGCATTTAAATGAATGAGAGCAGCGTAATGATGATTTAACAGGATTAATGTTGGTATGCAGGTCCAACTGGAGAATCGGGTTTCATCCGTAGATGAAAGTAAAGAGATGAAGCGCAGCCACAGATTACTGCTGTGATTCATCGTTTCACTAAAGTTCAGAAGAATGACTGGTTCTGTAGCAAACCCAACCTACAAAGTACACCCACATCACCCCGCTTCTCCTCCAGCTTCACTGGCTGCCAGTCAACGTCAGAGGTCATTTCAGGATCCTGGTTCTAGTCTTCAGGGCCTTACATGGACAAGCACCATCATACATTGGTGATCTTCTCAGTCCCTACACCCCCAGCAGGTCCCTGACGTCCAGTGACCAAAGCCTACTGGTTGTGCACATGGTTGTGCAACACCAGACTAAAGACCAGACTCTGGACCTATCTCCCCCTGAGCCTGAGATCAGTGGACTCAGTCGTCTCCTTTAAATTTTAGTTTTTGTGAAGCGCCTCGTGATTTATTCCAGAGAGGCGCTATACAAAAGTTAGCTTTCTTTCTTTCTTTCAGGCGACTGATTCACCCTTTTTATGTCCGTTTTACATTCTCAGTACTGTTGTTACTTGTAGTTTTCTGATATCTAGCCAGCTTGTTTAAATCATTAATGGAAATGCTTCTTTGATAAGAACTTCAAGAGAAGAATCATGACTATCCTGAACAAACATGACTAGCATGATCATCATTTACATCTTTTGGAAGCTTCTACTAAAAGGGGCATAAGCTGCAACTAGTTAGTGACACAAAATTGCAAGAAAATTTTCTAATTTTTCATGAAATCACACTGAATTAGCACTTTCAACACTTCAGTTTCTATCAAAACTACAAATTAAAAAACTCAACAGAATGCTGTGCAACTTTCTGTTTGCAGTTCATTCACAAAGTGTCCTAATTTAGTTGGAATTCATTCATTCTGAATTAGAAGAGTCAGATTGTCTGTTCAGTTATAATGTTTCATTGGCCACCAGCTACTCCCATCAAACCTGTTGACTGTTGCTCCATAAACACTTTTCCAGAATCCACATGATGATTAAAGCTACATGAACTGGTTTCTGCTTCTTTGCTCATTAAAATGTGAAACAAAACAAAACCCTTCCGTCACCTGTTCAAGTCCAGCCCGTTCCTCCCGAGTCTCATTTAGAGAAGCTGTAGTGAGTCAGAATAACAAACCTCTAATGTGTTTGCACTAAACATGTCCTTCATCTCCTCTCAGAATAATTAAATCTGCTTCTGAACATTTTATCGTTAACACACGTTCATGTGAACGACGTGTTCCTGCGCTGAAATAAGAGGCAACTCTGTGATTTCTCTGTGTGGCGCCTGGTAAAAATAAGGACCGGTCTCTAATTCACACTGAGCCCAGAAAAAAAAGGGAGTCATAATTAAAACACACACTCTTGTGCCTGACACATTTATTACCCAGCATTATGCCAGTCTTGATTTGGCCTTCAGCTGAGCCAGAAATCAAGCTTAAAATAAAGATGAAAGAGGTGGAAGGGAAGCAGAAACACGCAGAGCCGATATCCAACCTGTTTCACTCCGATGTGAGGTGTGTGAAGGTCTGGATTCAAGGGTTCAGGGTCTGATATGATGATCACAGGAGGGGGGAGCATGTGTCTCATTTAGTAAGGATTCACTCTCGTGGTGAGTTTTAAAAAAATTGGTTACAAAATTACAAGCAAACGCTGAGATCTGGATTAAGCAAGTTCTTGTGATTTCTAAAACTGCAAACAAACGTAACAGAGGAACAGTGTAAAACAATAAAACCATGATGTTCCAACACTAGTGTGTCTTACTAAATGGAGCCTAGTGAAGAAATCTGATTAATACAGCTGTTTCAAGTCTTCAAACCTGAATGTGATGAGTTTCCTTCACATTTAACTCAGATTTAAGTAAAATTAAGACAGATTGGGGCACAAAGGCCACAGGTCCAGCAGATGAAACCAAACATGACTTTACAAATAACATGATCCAGCTCGGACATTCGGGAGGGACTCGGAGTAGAACCGCTGCTCCTCCGGATCGAAAGGAGCCAGTTGAGGTGGTTTGGGCATCTGGTCAGGATGCCTCCTGGACGCCTCCCCGGGGAGGTGTTTCGGGCATGTCCTGCCGGCAGAAGGCCCCCGGGTCGACCCAGGACACATTGGAGAGGTTACATCTCCAATCTGGTCCGGGAACGCCTTGGGGTCCTGCCGGAGGAGCTGGTGGACAAGGCCGGGGAGAGGACGGCCTGGAGCTCCCTAGTTGGGATGCTGCCCCCGCGACCCGGACCCGGATAAGCGGAGGAAGACGAGAGACGAGAGATGATCCAGCTCCTCCATAACTTGGCTGCAGCCAGATCTCTATGTGTAGCCCCACCCCGTGTCGAGTCTACACATTTCTATACAGGATTCTCCTGTATTTGGAAAACTTCAAATCTCTCGAGAATTCATCTTGCAGCACAAGGTTAACTCCTCCTAGAGGATCTCAAGGTGTTCCCAAAGGGGACGGCCCTCCACCAAGCTTTGGGTCTACCTCAGAGTCTCCTCCTAGTGGGACGTGCCTGGAAACTCTCCAAAAGGAACCAAAATGCCTCTCAGTGAAATTCCCAAACCCCCTCAGCTGACTCTTTTCAACGAGTAGCAGCAGAAGCTAAGCGATAATTCTCAAGAGAAAAACCTTTAAGACAACTCCCAGTTTTCTCAAGAGTGGATGACCTAACAAGATCACCATGAGGTCAGGCCATGGAAAGACAAAACCAAGCTTAAGCCTGTAAACATCTCAGCTAGCTGGTCAAAGGTTAAAATTCAGGACAAGTAAAGACAGAAAGACTGATGGACATTAGCCTCCACTGGGCCTTTGCACTAATGTCCTTTAAACAGACCAAAGTGGAGATGTTTACCCATGATGCACAGCCGCACATTTGTAGAAAAACAGCACAACTGGATCCACTCACCCGATCTCCAGGCCGGACCAGTGGCTCTTGTTTGGTTCCCAGTTTGTGCAGCAGATTGTAGGCCACCTTCACACTTCTGGACCACAGTTTACCTGGAGGAACATGAAGGAATTTATTTTTTATCCCTAATAGGTTCAAGATCCAGTTGATGAAACAAGGAATTTAGAGGCAACTAGATGATTGCCAGTTTATTTTTAAGCCCAGTAAAACATGAAAGAGACCTCATCAGTTCCCATATGTGAAAAATTACAATCACTGGATGTTTCAGCATCTTCGAGCTTTCATGTTTCACCTCCCTGGAAAGAAAGTCTGGAGATAAACCAAACAGTCCTGATGATTGTGTCACCATCAGACTGAACCACATCCAGGAGTAATTTCACACATGTTTGGTGACATTATGACAGTTTTTAGATCTCATTTCAAGTCTCATGCAACTTTAGGAGAAATGAAGCCACCTTTTGTGTCTTCTGAAGAAGAAGCTCCAAAAACATTTCCATCTGACTGAAGGTGTGTGTCAAAATTCCCCAAAGTCAATAAATCCTGATGTCAAACCTTCCTGATCAGTTTCATCTCACCTGTCAGCTCCAGTCTGCTTGGTTAATTATTGCACTAAAACGAAAACAATGGAATCAATTTCCTCCTTTCTATGATTTCCTGCCGACTCAGACTGATGTACGTAGATATTATTATGCATGAGCAATCCAGTGTGAATTCCTGATTAGGATTCCTGCAAACGGAGTCTTATTTTCTCTTTTAGTGGTTGTCAGAACTAATGAATTGAAGAAAATGTGATCTTGGAGATTCTAGGAGCCAAACGGACCATCTGGAGGTGAAAAACTAAAATCAAGTAGGAGCCTGTTGGGCCTTATTTTCTATGTTTTATGGTTACAATAGTTATACAATGATAATCTTTAACATGTAGGTTTCAAATAGAACACAGAAGTGGTTGTTTTGTTGTGGTATCTTGTTTAGAAACCCAATGCTAAATTTAATCTAATAACCTTAACAGCCAACTATCTACATGAGGAGGTGAAGCCATCAGTTCTTTATATAAATAAAGGATTTCTAAAAATAATTTAATAAAAGGAATCTATGATTTTAACCCTTTATCAGTCAAAAAAGAACAATACTGTCTGTTGAGGATACGCTTATTTACTTTTGCAAACCTTAACATTTCTGATCAAGTTCAGTATTTTTGCATCAGATACAAGTTGCACCTTGAACAAACATAAATATATTTACTGAGATTCTGGAAAGGACCAGACTTCAGGATGAAAACAATAATTATTCACACTAAACAAATAATTTAATGCCATAAAATCAATCACCTTCTTAGGGATTACTGACTGAAGAAAACTGGTGTTGAACATTATTAAATCAAGCCAAAGCATGATTAGTTCCTCCAGTGTTTGTTGCTTTGAAAGAATAAATCTGCAGACCTTGAATCAAACATTTAACACTGGATAAAACATCCAAACAAACTAGCTAATCTGTGATCGAATTTGGTATCACAGCTGACATTCAGACACACCTGCAGCCTTATTAAGGTAAATAAAAGTACATCTACTGTATGCACCAATAGGAGTCAGAAAGGATTTCTTTATGTTTTAAATTCAGAAAAGTTCAGAATTATTTACCCAAATCACCGTTAGAGGCAGCCTGGCAGGCTATCCCATATATGTGAATATATAGTCTGGCCAAGGTCCACTGAAAGCTTTCAGTCGTGGGGCAGGATCGACAGTTGTTTTTCAAACAGTCCCCACATATTATTAGAGGCAGTCTGCCATACTCCGCAAATGCATCCTTTTTCTAAACAAACTTAATCACCCCAAACCAATGGAGCACTGTGATTGGCCCATCAAACCAATAGAACACTGTGATTGGACCGCTATGGATGCCAGTGAACGGGGCAGTCCACCATTAGATTGTGGAAGAACTACATAAAACATAAAATATTATGCCGTTTTTCTGAATATATGCTCTGTGATTGGCCAGCCAGATTTCTAGCCGGAGCCGCGAGGTTCCAATAGAGTGTTTCTAGATCATCAATTTTACTTCAGCAATGACGATCTAGATTTTAGGCTACTTGAGAGGCACTTTTCATGACAAATGTTCCTTTGGGTATTATATTAAAACTCTTAAGTCACGGCAACAGTTAAACTAGTCATATTTGTCGTTTTTACATTCCATATCTTAACTGGGTCCGGAACGAGTTGGCAGCAGTCACAGTGCATCCCCTGGCCACTGTGTGTCTTGGATCGACCCGGGGGCGTCATTTGGAATTCTCGGATGTCTAAGGAAGATCCCGCCTTTTTCGTCTGATTGGCTAGAAAGGCTCTACTACGATTGGCTATGATAATGATAAATGACCCGCACTTGTATAGCGCCTCTCAGAGTAAGGACTCCAAAGCGCTTTACACTACAGTGTATCATTCACCCATTCACACACACATTCACACACTGATGGTGATGAGCTACGATTAGCCACAGCTGGTGAGGCTGCCGAGTACAGGCGCCACCGGACCCTCCGACCACCACCAGCAGGCAAGGTGGACACAACAGCAGAAATCTCTGTCTGGAGCCGGGATCGAACCTGCAATCTTCCGATTACTGGACTACCCGCTCAACCTGTTGAGCTACTGCTGCCCCTGGCCATTTCATTTAACAGCAAACTGGCTGTTCTCGCCAAGTGCTGACTGTGTCCTTCTGCCACCAGCAGAAAGCTGTTTTGAGGAGTTTAGTAAAGAAAATGTGAACTTAGCGCTATAATAAACATGTTGTCCTGGTTTGCAAAACATTTTATGTTTTATGTTTCATAAAAAACTGAAAAATGTAAAATGTGATTTTTTGTTTTTATCAAACTGTTGGACTTACTTTATATCTCTTGGCTCTGAAGCATTAGAGTACACAAGATAAACATATGTGCCTTATGGCTATGACATTTAATAAAACTGCCCTATTCTGTCAAGCTGTCTAAATCATAATCAGCTTTAACTTAATTTTTGATTACATGATACACATTTAATCTGATGATGAGAGACGTGCTCTAACTTGTAAACAGCCTTAACCTATTAAACCAGGATAGCCTAATAATGAAGTAATAATTCAATTCAATTCAAAGATACTTTATTAATCCCAGAGGGAAATTAGAGTTTCAGTACACACAAGATTCTAAGATAACCCCAATAGAGCCAACAGATATAAAGTCAGTCTACAGTGTGATAAAATGCTACAAGAATTATTAAAAGTTCACATTTAATGTTTTTCAGGCTCTTTTTTGAAAGAAACTGAACCTGGTTTGTTGCTAAACAGGAAAGGATGTTTATTATAGCGATGAGTTTACATTTTCTTCAAAAAACTCCTCAAGATCTGGCTGTAAACATAAAAACCTGCAGCGAGGGAAAACCGTTTCCTCTTACACAAAATAGCCAATCGTAGTAGAGCCCTTCCAGCCAATCAGAGGCGAGAAAGGCAGGACCTTCCAGAGCTATAGAAAGAGAGAGTTGCGACACGCTTTGAACTCGCCGACTCACTGTCACGTGGTTCATGGAGCTCTCAGTAGTTCTAAACATCCCAGCGCCGTAATTGAATATTGTCGCATTTCCCCTGGCTATTTTTGGCAATTATTGAATAATATTATATATTATTTTATATTATATTATGTCCTAATTCCTTCACAAAGTAGCCTATTTTTTCCCCCCAAGCATTTGTAGGAAGACAGACACCCGTGACTGTTCTACATTACAGGAACACGACAGACACACTGTAGAACAGTTGGACCACATACATTACTATAATATATTATAGCAATAAATTTGATGTAGCAATGCAACACACTGCTTTAATATAAGCATATTTAATAACTTTAAGTCCTACAAGAAGCCCTAAACTTGAGTTGTAATATCCATTTTAAAGTGTTTATTGAAAGCTAGAATTCTGCTCCAGCTTACCTTGAAGAAAATATGTAGCTGTTTATGCTTTGAATGATGATCTATTATGTTCAGTAGAATACATTTTACAATCATTACTTTATATTTTTATGTGAAGACAGTACATGCATCTATAACCCAGTTTATCCAGCTTCTATAGCAACTAATTAAAAAGAAAATTTCAATAAAACTGTATGGTTCATCACAGTAGATAAAAAAAGTGTTATTTGTGAAAAAATGAACACCAAACTTGTACAACATGTATAATAGCATTTTTAATAAAGCATTTTACCAACATTATGTTTAGTCATTACATATGCACAAATAAGCTGAATCATTAATTATGAGCAATGTTCTCAAGACCTAATGAAACTCTCTTGAATAAATTTATTTTGATTATTAAAATAAAATGTGTCAGTGGGTTAAAATTTGAAATTACAAATTTTAGGGTTGGATAAAATTTTAAAATGTAATTTTACATCTCAATATTTTTGGTTCTGTTCAATATTTCTATATGTACAAATAGTATTTTAATAATCCCTTTATAGGTTGATTATCTTACATTGTTGGCTGTGCTGCATATGGATGCAGCAATCAGTCTGAGGGAGGAATCAGAATTGTGGCTTACCCAAAGTCGCAGAGACAAGAAGAAAATGGTTGGCTCAAGTCAGCAGGAGCAACCTCACCATGACCAGAGAACACAATAACAAAAAGCTGTGTGCAGTGAGTTTAACGTGCACTCTATGTTTTCTATCAAGGTTCTACATGTTCGGCTCTCAACTGCACAAGGCTGCAATTAAACTGTTAAATGTGGCAGGAAATAAACTAATACACCACTCTACAGGCACATTTTGAGGAGGGACAGTTTACTAAGACCAGGCAAGGCAAGGTGAGACTCAGGGCTGATGCTGTGTTTGTTCCTCGCCCTGAACCAAGGAGGAGGAACGATCCCGCAGTGAGAAGTACAGCAGAACCGCTGCATGTTGATCCACTGACCAGTGACCACACATGTTGTACTCAAGTAAACTGTGGTATGAATCTTTTGAAATATTAGACATTTGTATTTATTTTATTTTAAAATGATTCTTTATTCTAACAGTGCCATTATAATTTCAGAGAATGAGGAAAGCAGCAGCAGCAGTGAGGCAAATGAGATGAGAGAAAGTGAGAGGGGACATGAGATGGTATCAGGAGAGGGACATCCCAGGAAGCCATGAGGAGCCGGCGTCAGGGCCAGGAGGAGAAAGGAACAGGCTATGCAACCAGGGAACCCAGCTGGAAAACCTAAGGGAGGAAATAGACAATCAGAAAGGCCGTACAGCTCTGTTTTTCAGTGGGTTCAACAGGCTGCAGGTTTCTTCAGGACATGAGTATCCCTCTGCCTGATGTTAGAACCCTGCAAAGACAAATGCAGCCCATTAACTGGAACCAGGTGTGTTAGGAGAGGTGTGTGACATGCTCAGTTTGAAGGTTAAAATCTGACAGAGATGGAAAGAGAGTGTGTGCTTACTGTGGATGAGATGGCAATCACTCCAGGCGTGCATCACTCCATCACAGACCCAACTGGGTTTTGTCACCACTGTTGTTCCTGGTCAGCTCTCCGCTCAGCCACTATGAAAACATGAAGATGGACACACAACACAGTTTAACCTTTAATGGTTACATAAGATCTTTGTTTTAGTTTCTCTTTGACATTTATTTATTGATAGTTGTGTTATTGTTAATTCTCATTTCTTGTCATTCCTAACTTAACAAAATTGCAAATGCTAATATTATAAAGCAAGTGGAAATGAGCAGTTTCATGGAAAATGTCTAATTTTTAAAAGTTATTGTGTTCGACTACTGTTTTTGAAATATCGTAATTCTATTCTTATTACCCGAGTCCACAAAACATAACAACATATCTTCTTACGTTCGTAATCCTGTTTGTCTCATGCTTTAGGAGTTTGTTGTAGTCAGTGTTATTAACTGAAAAATATTAAATAATTACTTGTCTTCACAATCACATTTTCTTTATTATTGGTCTCTCCATTTGTGCTTCCATTTCTGATGCATGTTCGTGTTGATACAGCAACCAGCAACGTATTGTACAAAAAAATCCCAAATTAAACTAATAATGTAAAAAGTTTATAACCTATTTCAAACTGTGGGGAATACTTTTAAAACGTAGAATCAAACAAACTTAAATAAACCCGTCTGCAGCTTGTCTAAACCCTCCTGCTCACAATCAGCAAGCTGCACACAATTAGCACATTAAAGATTATCTAGCTAAAACTGGCAACATAAAATAGCATTGTTGGCTTATTTTGGTACGAAGCGGTTATCTAACGCTTCACAATGCAACAAAAGGAAGACATTTCATCAACTTACCGGAGGCAATCCTTCCGAAACACCGAAAATGAACTATGGTCAATGGAGCAGCGGGGGCCGTTTGGAACTATTCGAAGCTACATGAACCACGTGACTCCCGCATTCCATTCTTTCCAAATAAGTCTATTGGAGTGTCGCAACTCTCTCTTTCTACAGCTCTGGGACCTTCCTTGGACATCCTAGAATTTCAAATGACGCGACCCAGGGGCCTCCTTAGCAGGACTTACCGGAAACACCTCCCCAGGAGACATTCTGATCAAATTCCCGAATTTTCTGCAGGCTCCTCTGCTGGGAGGATCAGCAGCTCTGTTCCAACATCCTCACCCTATCTGAGCCCGGCCACCAAAGGCAGCGTTTTTTGGCGACTTATATTTGCAAACTTGTTCTTTCAGTCACTACACAAAGCTCATGACCATCGATGAGGACTGGAGGAAACGTCAGCTGGTTTAGAGCTTTGCTTTCTAGCTTGATGAAGGACCACTACCCCAACCCAGATTCAGAAGTCCTCCCTTCTCCGACTGATCAACATACACATACTTTAATAACTGCTTCGTTATAGCAAACATCAATTGTTACAAACAGTACAGTAAAACTCTGAGTGCAATGGTAAGTTAGTGTTCTGTAGGGGGCGACCAACTAACATCCAGACAGATAAAAATATTTTCTTAAACATTTAAATTCCAGCAGGCAAAGCAGCTCCCAAAGAGCCCAGATAAAAATCATCTAATCAGATGCAGAGAGTAAGTAGTTCTCATTTTCTCTAAGGTTATCTACTCATGAAAGACTACTGCAGCAGCTTTTGTCCCCAGGAATCAACAGGAGTGGTTTTACATAACTGGACTGAGTTTTAGAAACAGCAGGTGACAAAAACCTCTGAGCAAAATTGAAGCAAGTATTAGGAAGAGAAGGTTTTCCTGGTAAGAGCAGAAGACTTTAGTCACCAACAGACGGATTAAGATTTAGTCTTTCAAGTCTATTTACTTAATTTACTTAATTAGGAATTAAAGGCCAAGCATCCCTGGAAGTTTGTGGGAATGTTCCCCACATGCCAGAGTTTAAACTGGGACCATCTTATGTGGAGAAATCATTGGTCAAACCTTGAACAAAATTTCCACAAGACCTGTTAGCACTCCATTAATGGTGACTTTTTGTAAATTTTAATTAAAATCCTTAATAATAAATAATAAAAACATCATTAGAGGTTTACGAAAGAAGCACTTCAAACAAAACCATTTGAAAAAACAATAAATGCAGCACTAAAAGGTTTGTGATCTTCTGATGTCATACTGAGATCCAAGCCTTTTAACTGACAGTATTAGCTACTGATCAACAAAATCAGCTGAGAGGAACAATGCCCCTGAGAATCTCTAGGCCAGTTCGAAATAATCCTTGTTTTTTATGAACCAAATGATGTTTCTCTCCTGTCTGTAGGAGAGGGTTATCTGCAGTGCGGGAGGACAGAAGAAAACGGGATATCCAGCATTCCTTCTGTTCTCCTGGGGGCCGGGACGGCTCTTCAGGAAGAAACAAAACAAGTTGGTCTTTGTGGGAAACATCAAAGGTGAGACACGACAGGAATCAGAGATAAAGAGACGATAGAGAATGAAGGTAGAGAGAGGGTGAGATTTAGATTCAGCACTGCACACACACACACACATGCATGCACTCACGCACACACGCACACACACACACACACACACACACACACACACACACACACACACACACACACACACACACACACACACACACACACACACACACACACACACACACACACACACACACACACACACAGACACACACACACACACACACACACACACACACACACACAAAAATCTCACCATGTTTTTGTCTCTGGAGAGGGACTCCGGAGAGCTGGCTGGAGACATTTCACAGTCTGGTGAGCGCTCAAATCGTCTCATCAGCTCCACACACTCTAGTGTTTTCAGACACTCACGCCTGTTTGATGGAAGCCTCTACTGCCTGTTAATGCTAATCTGTGTGTGTGTGTGTGTGTGTGTGTGTGTGTGTGTGTGTGAGTGAGTGAGCTGATAAAAGCACTGAATTAGAAAATAATAAAATTCAATTTTATATCTTGTAGAATAAGTCCTTAACGCTCGTGGTTGTTTAACTTGCGAGCCGTGTACAGATACTGTATGTTTATGGTATCGTGTCTAAAGTTGCATCAAGATTATTTTATTCTCTGCAGCTCAGCAGGGGGGTTTGACTAAACCCATGGGTATATGCGAAAGCTGCTCTGGTAAATCTGGTTATTTCCACCTGCAGGACCTGAAGCTGCTTTCTCTGTTGCTGTTTGATAGACTGATGAATCTGATGCACCACAAAGACTTGTTTCAGTTTGTGTGGAAACTTAAATGTGAGACGGAACGAGGAACAGGGACGTAATGTGATTCAGCTGCAGTAAATGAATTCAGAGAGCTGTGACACCAACGGTGCTGCAGGTGAGATCGTTTCAAACTGCTGTAGTTCTAGAGGTTGTTTACAGTTATTTAAACAGGAATGCTAGAGTTGAATTTACATCCTTTTACTACCCCGTGGAGATGCTGTAGGAATTTTTTAAAGGCTATAAATGTTTTGTTGCCTCTGTAGTTCATCTAACAACACTGTGGGATTCCTCCAGAAGAAAAACAAATGCTGCTTTACTGCTGTGGATTTCTGATTAAGATGAGATGAACTCATACCTTATTTCTGGCTTTGAATTGACTTTTTCACATTAATTTCAAATCCCATCTTGGACTTATTGCAACAGGTGAAAGCAAAGATAACAAAAAGCCCAAATATAAACTATAACTATCCAGTTAACCAGTCCTTAGGTGTTGAAACTTGTAGAGATTGAGCTAAAAATCACTCTGGATGGATTCAAAGGAAAAAAAAAATTATTTAAAAGACTAATTTAAAACATCATCTGGAACATAGATCTTTTGGATAAACAAACAGAACCTCACCATCTCTTTTCACACAGTGCTAACGCTGTTAGCGCCCTGCTTGGCTGCCATTAGGGAATTATGCTCACACAGCGGGTGTTTAACATCATTTGGTGCTTCAGTTAATCAGCTTGAGAAAGCCACCATATGTGCTTAAAAACAGGAAGAAACTCACAGAAAAACACGCCTTTACTTGTGCGGTACTAAAGCATATATCGTACATGTTTATATCAGAGATTTGTGACTCAGATGAAGAATTTGGGGTGTTTTATTTTATTTTTGCTTCTTTCCTCTGCAAGAAAAACACAAATGCACAAATTTATTATATTTATTTATAAAATGTTTTTTTTTCTCTTGCCATAAATACTGAACCACTTCCTGTGTGCTGCTGTAGGGATCTATGAAAGTGTTCTTACCGTAGGTGAGGATGTAAAGCGGTTTTCCATTTGTGTCCATGGTGGTCAGACATGGGGCTTTTGGAGAAATGGTGCCCCACCTTTGTAGGGCCGCCTCTAGGGATGGGGGCCAGTTAGTCACCACCCCCAACTGCTCGCCTCGCATGGCAACCACCTGGGCTCCTTCAGCCTTGGGCAGGTTGGGGTCTGGTTGCTGGACTGCAGGAGAAAAAAAACAAGAGAAGTTTAAGTTACCGTGGAGAGTGATGAGCTGCAGCTGTGGCTGCGCTGGGGAACCATTTGGTGGTTTAACTCCAATCCAACCCCTTAAAACTGGGTGTCAAGCAGGGAGGCATTGGTTCAGACATTCTTCAGGATGTTCTGCTAGAACAGAATTTACAGTTCCATCAGTTACAGCAAGTAGTCCACGTCCTTAAGCAGTAGAGCAGCCTCAGACCATCACACTACCCCCTCCATGTCTGACTGTTTTTAGTGTTAGACTAAAGATGGAACAGGACGTGCATGCCTCATCAGTCCACAGAATATTTTATCAGAAGTCTTCGAATCACCAGGAAGTTTATCGGTAAATGTGAGACGGGTCTTTATGGTGCAGGAACCAGGTGCGACCTGCAGAACTTTAGGATCATGTTGAATTTTTTGCTTTTGACCATTAGGACCAGAGCTTGGTGTGTTTCTTTTTGAGATGTTTTGGTCTACTTCACGCCGTCAGAAAGGTTCTACTGAAGGGATTTTTTTGGTGTGAACTCATCTTTCTGAATTTGAGATGAATCACAGTTAATTCACAATTAAACAAAGGGGCATTTACTTTATCACGAGATCAAGTTAGTTGTAGAGTCTTTTCCTTTAAAATTAAAATAACCTTTTCTTTTTTCACAAGATATCTTGGTCTGATCAGGACATTTTTTAGCCAATCTGAAACAAACATTTTTCATGCAATCTACATAAAAGTAAAACTAGAAGAAGGAGAATCAAAGGCCATGACGAGGAAAAATAAAAACTCATTTTTATCCATACTTCTGTGTCAAGGAAACATCAACTGCAATACATTTAAAAGCTCACTGAATAAAACTGAGTATTTTTAACATTTGAGATTCATTCTTAAATTATGAATGAACTCTGGTTCTGCAGCTTTTGACACTGAAAGCAAAAGGAAATTTTCATCAGTTGCTTTGTCACATCAGACATGAGGAAAACTGTTTGTGCAGAGAGTTGTCTGTTTGTTGCTGCATGTGGTAAAAACACATGTTTGGTAAAACCCAAATAAAACCAAAGAAACAGAAAATTCAGAAAGCTGAAAGTCAAGTGTTTACCTTCCAGAAGTTCCTCAAAGTCGTCAACAAAAAACTCCCTTAGCGGCGGCCGTTTGGGTCTCTTCAGAGTGTTGACCAGCTGCTGAATTTTAGCTGACACTCTGCTGCTGACTGGAACTCCTGAGAGCAAAAACAAGTTTAATCTGAGATTTTCTGATAAAATTATACAACTAGACACTGCATCACTTCTTCTGTGGCGTGTTCAAACATCCCTGAAGTTTTAAGGACAGGTTTGGTTGCCCTGTAGTGAGAATTCAGCAGAATCATCCTCGAGGCTGACGCTTATAACAATAAAGGGTTCGATGATGAATCAGAGCTTGAACCTGATTTTGTGTTTTTAAATAATCGTCAAAGAAAGATGAGCCTGAAGACAGATACACAATGTTCCACATGGGTTCAAAGGTTAAACCCAATAAATAATAACTTATCTTTAAGAACAAAACACCCCCAGAATTAAGAAAGAGCCTCTAATAAGTAAAAACGTTGATGTTCTTTAAACCAAACATCCCGATGGGCTCCCATCTGTAAACACTGGCAGTCGATCCATCAAGCCGCTCGTCTCTGAGCTGCGTTTAACGTCTCAGCGCACGCAGACATCGACTGTAACATTTGATGAATGACTCCGTCTGCTACAGCTTTTGTTTTCTCCAGAAAAACAGATATTAAATGACGAACAAGCAACGTGTGGTCTTCAGTCATCGCTGAGGCCTCTGCGGAGACGTGGCATCGTATTTTTTTTTTTAGATAAAAGCCATCTTGGCCGGACCCTGATTGATGTGAAAACAACAGACTAGCAGAAAAAGAGAGGTGGTAAGCTGTTCTGACTGAACACAATTATTAGTATTATTATTAAGTGGGAATAAAAGAATGAGCAACACAAACAGGACTCAGAGGAATTTAACACCATTTACTTTTGTTTATTTGACTCACCGTCTCCGGTCTCCATCAGCTCGGCGTTGCCATATTTGGGTGTCTGTTTCTGGGTGGCGGTCCCGGGCCCAGGAGCTCTCTCTACCTGGATCCCATCAGTGGCCGTGGTGTTGTTGGTGTAGCCGGTGACATCTGGAGGAGCAGAGTGGTTCTCTGGGGAAATGGAAGACCTGGTTAGCTCCACTTGATCAAGTCTTAACTAGGTTCTAGAACAGCTTTTATTCATGGTTGAGCCTCTATTTAGTGTGTGAAACTTTGTTGGGGCTCACAACAACCCAGGAACCCATGGTCAAACACAACCCCTAATAAAGTCTTACAATAGAAAGATTGATTTGTCCCACCCACTCTGCCAGAACATGAATATTAAAAGATTTTCTGATTTACCCTGATGGCTCTATATTTTAAAAAGCCATCTACATCAGGAAATAAGGGAAGCATCTATCACTTTTACACTAAAACACACTTTACACGGGCCCAAAATCCCAGAAAAATGTGACAATTCATTTTTTTCTCAGTCAGCTATCAATATGAACGAAAAACATCACCATCCTGGATCACTATTGTGCATCCTAACATCATTTTAGGTGCAGTTTTCCAGCAAATGGTTAGCATTATACTAAAGCCCTCTGATATTATAGCTAAAAACTGGTTTTCTAAATGTAAGAAAAGCACTTTTTTCCATCAGAACGAACATCTCTACCTCCTCCGGGATCTTGCAGTCATTCCATGTTGACCACAATAGTTCCAATAATCTCTCAGTTCAAACCACCCACCACTTTCTCAGATGCAACAGGTCTTTGGAGATGGAGGAAAAAAAAGACTCCAGTTCCCTCCAGACTCCCACTCCAACATCCTTTTTTAGGTCATTTCTAAATCCTATTTGATGCTTGATTTAAATCTGTTTTAACCTTTTAGCATCCTGATGTTTCAAAGCTTCCATTTTTCTCAAACGTACTTTTTTCATGAGAATTCAGGGTTTCCCCCAGTGCTTTATAAGCCACCCGCCAGGCTATGCGTCATGCCCCGCCCCCTTCCCTGACCCTACTGTGTCCGCTGACACGAACGGCGCAATGAAACTGGAGCCCTCCATCAGCTGATACTGGACAGAAACAGCAGCGGAATGTGTGCATCCCCCACCCCCACGAAGAAGCGCTGCGGGACGGAGCTAAAATAACCCTTTACAGGTATAATGCAGACCCCTACTGTGGCCAGAAAATCGCACTTGCAACTTCAGAGTGCCGGTCTTTTCTCTGTTGGACTTAAAAAATAAAAAAAGGAGCTGACATGCCTTGCTCTGGAGTCTTGTTCCAGCATGTTTCCTGCATGTTTTAGATCATGAACACAGCAGATTTGTTTAATTTAGCAATGAATCACTGCTGTAGACACTAATGAAAGCTGAGGACACATTTAAGCAGTGTGATTATGGTGTTTAATTGGCGAACAAACAGCAAGGAAATAAGTTTCACTTTTGATTCTACTAAAAGGACACTGGGGGTGCTAAAAGCAAGCCCAAACCGTCAAGTGTGCCTTTAAGTTCCTTTATCCAAAAGGTCAGATTAAAATCACTTGAGAGCACATGAAAGTTCTATATTTACTCCTATTTTATATGTTTACCCTTTACTATATTTACCCACCCTCCGAACTCCGGTTCACACCTGCGCTGTCGGTTGTGGTTCAGGGGCCACAAAGAAGGGCCCGCGAGCCAAATGCCTATTGAGTAGCCTGACCAGCCAGCCCCATGCTTAAAGCCTTTCATGTAAAGAGAGATGTTTGTGCCATCGCCAGACGCCATTTTCGACAACAGCTAAAAAAAACGACAGTGTCACAGACAGAGATGCTCAGTTTCTCATAAACAACGAAGACAGCGGTGGAGTCCGCTGTGGTGCGTTCCTCTGTTCTAAATGACTTGGACACATCTTTAAAACCACAACAAGAACAAGTGCTACAAGCCTTTCTTCTAAAGAAAGACACTTGCGCTGTCGCCAGACGTTATTTTTGACTAAAAACTACAGGGTCGTGTGGTACAGTCAGCATTTCCGCCTTTTGTCTTATTGGTTATTTTTGAGCTGGCTAGTCCTGCCCCTCATGTGCCTCTCTGCTTGTGAGTAACCAGACTAGTTCTCTGTGTAGACAGACGAGTAGTCTGGCAGGCCAGGCTACCTATTAAGTACCGCTGGTCTACTTGGTTCCCATAAAAACACACCAGTGTTCTCTGATGAAAACACACGAGTGCAGAAAAGTTAGGAGCTTTGACTTGCATCTATTAAATTCTTGGACTGACCAGAGTGCTCTAGCTCCAGCCTTCTCTATGAAGCCTTTATACAGTTGAGTCTCTTCAAATCACACCATGTGTCTTCAATTGTCAATGCGGATGACTAAATCTGAGCTGAAAATGATTTTAGAGGTTGAGAAAAACACATCTATGAAAGATACGGGGGAGAAAAACAAGAGAGATGACTTCTCCTGAGAAACAAAAACAGAATATCTTCCCCAGACATGTCCAGCATATCAACTCTGCAGCATGCAAGAAAGGCATGCTAATTACTGCAGCATGTCCTACATCCTGTCTTCAACATTTGGGCCTGGAACTGGACATCCCACTGCTGAAGTTGTGTTTTTAATCTGAGCATGTATATATCCACATCTATCTGCCCAGCTTATGCACAACATGTGGGCGAGTAAGAGCACACGACTCCATTGACCTCATCAGATGGTCTTTGCGATGATGGGAGGCAGAAGATGAATATTAGTGCTGGCTGAGGAGGAAGATGATGAATGTGTCCTTCACCGCAGGAATACCAAACAGCCAGATGGAGGCAGCTGATTCAGGGACAGGATGTCTCCGTCTCAACGCACCAGTCAATAAGGGCTAGGAGCTGACTGCAGAGTTAATAAGACTGTCCTTTTGGACACTTGTTGACACATTACTGTAGAGAGATGTGTCCATTTAAGAGTTGAAAATCTACAGATTTCATTCAACAAGTTTGTGATGAAAACGTTGATGGACTTTAATTCATCTACGCATCACTTATTCATTCACTACCACATACATCCTCTAATCCATTCATTCATCTGTCCATCCATTTGTTGCAGCTTTAGTCGCCTTTATTGGCCCAAATATAAAATAAATGTCTGACACTATTTAAGATCCCATGTAACCAAAACATTAAACCACAGAAAAGAAGCAGGCCAACAACCTACATTCCTCCACCATCTGCTTTCTGTGGATAAAACAACTGTTATGACAGCAGAATGCCTCTGGCAGAGCAAACACAACTGAAACATGCTGCATAATTATTTACATCAATAAACAACAAAAACAGGACCTTCAAAAGGGGGAGGCTCACACAAAGAGCTAGCTAACATTTTCAAACACATTGTTGATTTTTTGGTCATCAACAATTCAAACAGCAGCTTCTTTTTTCTGTTTCATGCACCAACAGCTCAATGCTATCGGGTTTAGCATTGAGAAGATCTTTGAATCATCACCAACACAAATTAAATCTCTGTGACAGCAAGCAAATGAAAAAGAACACTTTACTGAACCAGGGGCGGACAACATCCCTGGGCGTGGCGAGGGATGGCAGGACCCGGTTCTAGATTCTCCACACTTACCGGAGTGTTGTGGACCAACGTTTCCAATCTGAACCAGACCAGCTAGTTCTGCCCTTCTCCTCCTCCTCCTCAAGGAGAGGTGGGCTAAAAGGCCTGTGTGTGATGAACAAGAGGGGAGGGAATCCTGTAAAAAGTTGTCTCAGTCAGGAGTTGCTCTCTGAAGGGTGTCGCTTTCTACGTGAAACAGTCCGAAAAAATAAATATTACTTCAATGAAGTTCTGTTACCGAAGATTCACAAACAAACAAAAAAAAAAAACAAAAAAAAAAAAACCAGAAGATGAGATTAAAACACTTTGGATCAAAAGACCATCAAAAAAATGTGTGCATCGCTCCATATTAAACAGTAATTCACAATCAAACGATAAAGGGTTAAAAATAAAAGTCTTTAAACAACCTCATGTCAATAAAAAAGTTTATTTGAAAGGAAATGAGGCCAACTTGGAAATTGCTCAAAAGCATAAAAGATTACTAAATTTAAAAACCGTATTTCCTCCACAAACCTGCAGGATCTGATTGTGAACTGATGAAAAGACTGAAGTCAGGACCAACATGACAGAGTTACACCTGACTTCACTTTATAATGCTCCCATATTTATAACCCTTATTTCTTTGGTTGTCAAAAAGCTGCATCCTCATCATGAATGAAAACGTGTAAAACACTGCCCACAGTGACGTCATTAACTGATTTAATATAACTGAACCAAACTAAACGTATGTTTTCACCTCACAGCTCATTAGAATTTACAAAGCTAGCGATATATCAGGCTTGTGTGAGGCAAGGAGACGCCAGAGCTTCACTCCAACAGTAAACAGCTATTTATCAAGCCGTAAGTAGAAGTGAACCTTGAGTCATTCATCAGTGCTCTGCAGAGAGCTCGTTCCCACAGACGACAGACACCCGAGGATGAAGCCACATGTTAAATCCAAACTTCGAGGTCTGGGACTTATTAGACAGCATGAGAGAGGAATGGGCAGCTCTAAAACCTCTGACTTTGTGCTGGCTGATTGGACTGAATCATTTCATGAGTTTAAGAGGAGTAACTGACGTTCTGAAGCTTCATTTTTAGTCATTCAATCAAATTCGTATTGGGTTTATTTCTAAAAAGCCACCAGAAAACCTTGTCGAGACCCACAAAGACCATCCACAACCTGGCAGATGTTTTAAAGTTGTAGCTGAGGTCTTAAGCTTGTAAGAGGAGCAGCTTAGGAACTGTGCAGGTTTATAAAAAAAAGTAAATATTTCAAATAATCGTCATTGTATTTATTGTTATTTTTGCTGTTCGTGTCAAAATTTACTTTCTGCTGTGTCTATTTTAAGGGTTTATTTGTAGAAAAAATAATATATTCTATTAGATACATGTTTCTCCCTTTTGGATCTGATGGGTCACTCAGAGTTTTATATGCATGCCGAACGTGAAAATGCCCCCCCCCCCCCCCCCCCCCCCATAAAAAAAGTAGATGGGAAAACAATCAGGTCAGGAAAAGCCAGTCTCTTCTCTGTCAGGAAATTTTTATTCATGGCCCTGCCCATCTTAGC